ATGTTATATTTTGTTTATGTTTATTTAGATGAAAAATTATAAACGTTATGTACCATGTTATGTGATGAGATTTAAACCATACAATCGATATGCAAAAAATGACATATATAAATTCAGATGATCCAAAAATAACATATACAAATATAGTCGAAATACATGATGAAGTACCATGAAATGAAAATAAAATATAATCCATAATGAATCCAAAGTATAAATACTATACTACTGCACTACTGTGTATGTTGGACTACATCTCATCTGGCTTCTCAGGCTCGTCGGCCTTCAATACCCCCGTCCTCCGGTGCTGTCTCCGGAATATCAATGTCTCTCGTGCCTCCGTCATGATGGCATCTAGGACTTTCCTCACATCGGACCCATTAGGGAAGATACCTCTGTCAATGCCTACATGTGCAATCTCCACTATGCAACGACATATAGGCAAGACATCATAAGCATGATCTAACTGTGCTGCTTTTCCTCTAGTATCTCCTTATGATCCGGACTCAATGGATCTCTTGAAGCATCCTACACCATGTACAGATGTAACACCCTGAAGAACCACCTGATGTACCAGTTGATGTAGCTCCAGTCGCTCTTAGCTAGGTACTATGTGCCTCCTCCGATACCAGATGACTCTCATAATCATCAAACATGGCATCCATATGTATACGTGTCAAAGAAGGAAAAGCAAAGACAACATGGTGTTTGGGAATAGTCTGAGTGTGGTCGAACTACTGCATCATATGCTTGGGAAGATGAGGAGAAGTGAGATGTGATCCACAAGACAACCATCCCTAGTATATCATTATGTTGTCAAATGGCGCGTCTCACGATGATCGACATAGTTGTTGAAGTGCATGTCCTTGCAACCAAGCGATCAAGATACACTCTGAATGGCTCTATCGCCTGGTTCCCTCTGAGCGAAGCAAATGTAGTAGCAGGTGATATATCATTAGTGTAATTCAGTACACCTGCCCAACCAGAGATGTGCAGAAAGTGCTGGAGGATCCAAGGCTAAAAAAGTGTAGAACACACAAATCATCAATAATGGCGTTGCAAAGATGAAATGAAAATGACATAAAAACATTAAAGACCAATAAATATTACCATCAGTAGTGTGATACTGCCTGTGAACTGCTTTGTCTTCCACCTACAACCTCTGATAACTTCGAGTACAAGTAGACCAAAAAAGCGGCCCCCAGCTGTATACATGGATCTGCTTGAAGTCCTCGAAGTATCGTAGGTAGACGAAATTTGTATAAGTGGCACCCTTTTTCATAAAAATCACAGTGTCAACCAAATATAGTAGGTGTGCTCTTATAGCATACGCTCTATGGAGTCCCACCTGCTAGTCGTCACCTCTAACCTGCACTTCTCTAAGGAGCACATCTATATATACCTTTTTCAGGAATTTAAACCTAGCATGAGCCCCTCTAATTCTCTCCTTCTCCGTCATCGTAGCCTCTGGGTCAACTCCCAGATAGTCTACCATCAAATTGAGTGCCTCGTCTTTGTTAATCCTTCCATCATTAAGTGTGATAGACATCTCACCAAGCGAGAGATGAATTGACGAGGTCTCATTGTACCATCTCTCCACTAATACATTAAGCATCATGTGATTAATCGTAATATAACTGGTCATATGCACAAGTCCTTCATCCTAGATAGAGACAGTGCTGCATGAAACCACTCCTAATCCGGCTTAGGCAAGCCAGTAATTTTTCGCTTGTGGTTAATAAACTTCAGCAGATCACGGTCCTGCATAAAATAAAAATCAATGTCAGAAACTTGTAATATATTAATAAACATAAATTACAAAGAATGAATCCAACTAATGTTACCTCTCTGTCCTAGATATGTTTGGCAGTATGATCTGGGTACAAAGGCAATAATGATAACTCTACAAGACTTCCTCCAAACGCATGAGGTGGCTCTGGCTCATCATCCTCATTTGCCTCATCATCTGGAGGTGGCACTGGCTTAGCATCTAGAGAAGACACTGGATCAGAAGCATCATTCGTCGGAGGTGGCACTGGTGCCTCCGATACCACCGATGACTCGGGTATCTCTGGCGCTTAAATATATGAAACATGGCGCCTGCTGGAGGATGGAGGGAGTGATGCGTCTGTTGGTGAAACATGTCTCCTACGGGAAGAAAAAGATGGAAAAGCATGAGGAGAAGCATGGGCCCTAGAAGTAGATGTCTTTGCATGACCATAATGAACAAGAGCCTTTGAAACCCGATTCTTCTCCCGCTGCATTGATGCATGATGTGCAATTCTCTCGTGCCTCGATCTATCGTGTCTATCAGCCATAATGTTTGTAATTAAACCAGACATTTAGTACAAGCATCACTACAAGCAAGGGAAAAAACAGAGTGATAATTTAAGGAGATGCGTCTCCAGGTAATGTCAATCCAAACGTTGAAAATTTTCTGAGATGCATCTCCGAAATTTTTTACAACTCTTCAAGTCATCAATGGCAGCAATGCAGACATGCAAACCTCAAAATAAATTATTCGATCGCGATTTTCAAAAAACAAACATGTTTTACCGTATGTATAAACTAACATTCTTATATTTCTTACTCATTTATTATCTAAATAATCATTTTTTACTAATTTACACAAAAACTTATCAAAAATTTATAAATTTAGACTTTACTTCAGTGTTGGATGATGTCTCTGATGTCGTTGATGTTGATTGAAGATCCTTTGAGCTTGGTTGTTGAAATTTTTTTAAGAGTTTGATAAAATTTTAATTTTTTTTAAAAACGAAGAAGGAGAAGGGTTCTGGCGTAATTTAAGTTTCAATACCTTCTAAAAATACAACTCCAAAATAAATTTGAATATGCATTTCCGAGATAATTTAACAATAAGTCAGAATTCCATGAATAATGTGTTTTTAGATTCATCTTTAAATTCTGACATCAATCATTAAAGTAGGACAAATGTCATACCATCTTACATGACTCTTATTTGCCTTTATATCAAACTTGATCCTAAAGAAAAAAAAGTTTAATAACACTTTTCTCCTTTCATATCATATGAATGCCTCCCGCTTTATCCCTATAAAGAAAAAGTTTACAAGGAATGATCACACCAATTGAACCACATAGCTTTTATTTTTTAAATTTACATATTGTATATTATTAATGTTTTATATATATATATACATATTAATGACTTTGAAGACAATTTAAGTAGAAATGCTTAACCAAAATTCATAAGTACTAAAATTAAACTTAAATCATATTCAAACACGTTTAATAATAAAGTAACTTCTTTTCATTTTTTAACATTCAAACACATTTAAATATATAATTCCAACCAACTATATTTAATAATATTTATTTATTTTTTATAGTTTTTAATATTTTAAGACTGAGATCCATTTTAGTCTTTCACAAAAATTACATAATTCAATTTAATCTCCAAAATATAAAAACACCATATTTAATCTCTTATATAATTTATGCCACATATTATTTTTTAATACTTACGTAAATAACTACATTGGATTTTATTTTTTATTTTTAGTTTTTAAATATTAAATTAGTTTTTATTTTAAAAAATTTAGATTTGAAACATAAAAAAAGAAATTCTTCAAAAGTATCTCAAAAATTCTTTAAGCAACATCCTATACCATCCGATAATATTTAAATGTGTTTGGATGTTATTTTAATTTGTTCAGATATTATTTTAAAAAATAATAGTAAAAAAATACTTAAATATTATTAAAATAAATAAATAGTTTTAGATTATTACTAATATGTTTGAAGATTGTTTAAAACTGATATTAATATATATATACATTTTATTTGAACATTCTTTTTCAAAATGTCTTGAAAGTTATCAATACGTCGAAAAAGAACAAATAAATTATTAATAAATATATAATTTATAAATTTAATAAACAAAAGTAAAAAAAATGATAATCTTTAAATTTCAAATTTGAAATTTTAACGTTTTTATTGACATCTAACCCATCTTTTCAAGTACTATACAAATTATAAAAATTGAATTTGTCATATGTATGATGAGAAAAAAAAAATACAAAATAATGTAAAATTATTTTATATTATTAACTAATCAACAATGTGTATTTTGCAAATCACATTTAAATTTAAAAATACTTTAATAGTTTAACAGTTTGTAGATTTTTCATTAATCGGTGTAAATCTATTTTACATTCTCATTTCTAGTGCTTATACATTAAGCACTATGATTAAACAAAAGACAAAATTCACTATGGTTGTTATCTTTTCCTTGCCTACATTCGTATCCATTTTAGTTTACTTGCACCTAAACCAAAATTGAAAAAACCAAAAGAGAAAATATTTGATTTCACTTCCACCAATCATTATTAAAGCATTAGTAGAGACGTGAAGTGGGTGGGTGTGAGATTCACCACAATCCCAAAAAGCCTAAAAATCCAAAATGTAAACAAAATACTTAAGTACTTAAATGAAATGAAAAATTGGTTATAAAACGTGCATTCATTTCCTCTCTATCCAATCCATTATAAATTATTACCAAATCACTATCCCAAATTATAGATAACAATTTGTTTCATTCGGGTAGAATTAGACAACAATTGAACAAGTTGAAATAAGAAGACAAATATTGTTTTTGGTTTCTAAAAAGACAAATATGAGGAGATAGAGTATTTCCATTTAGCACCACACGGTTCACAAAACAAAGATTCCTAAAAACTCTTATCATTAAATCTTCCAAACACCATATTACAAACTCAAAATCAAACAACCAACTAGAAGCACCCATAATTGTAATGGTTCCACACAAGTAATCAAACAAACAAACAACAAACAAGAAAAAAAAAACACCACACCACGCCGACAGCAACAAAAGTCTCACATCCCCTAGGGAAAAAACGTGAAGCAGAAGCCAACCACCGACCGCCACGTGTACAAGACTTTATTTTATTCTAATCCACTAACCTAAACACGTGATCGGGTTTTAATTTTATTTTAATCTTTTTTTATATTGCGAGCACCAAACCGGGTACGGATTTACCGACCCGATCAGAAACGCTACTCTCCCAGACGCAAGGGAAGCGACCGGAATCGAACGTCGCCGGGAGAATCTCCTCGGAGTCTTTCTCGGCGAAGCGAGTGACGGTGAGGGAAGTGTTGAAATACTCCCTAACCTGGGTGATTATCCCATCCGCTACAGTCAGCGCGTGAACCCAGGAGATAGCGCGTGAAGTATCGCAGCCTTCGACGATGACGGTGGAGCCAAAGGAGACGAGTGACTGTGGAACGAAACGGAAGGTATCGACGGCGGTGGAGTCGCCGGTGAGCATGCGCATCAAAAACTGATGAGAGGGTGGACCGTGAAACCACCACTCAAGATCAGAAGCGAGAATCTTGACCACGGTGTCGGAATCTCGAGAGTTTAAGGCTTCATATAGTGTGAGAACCAGCTTTTGATGGCTGGAATCAGCTTCTTCACTGCTTTCTTGAAAGTTAGCCAGTTCGAGAAAAAAATGTTCTTCTAGAAATTTCTGTTAAGGACTTGGGAATGGAATGTTGAGAAATGGATTTTTTTTTTTTATGATTGTTTTTGATTTGTTGAGACTTGTGGATGAATGCGAGGGGTTTTATATGGAAAATTTTGTGATCCTCTGCGGGTGGTTGTAGGTGGAACTTTTGAAGATGATGACATGGCGATTTATGATTGGGTTATTGGCATAGAGTAGAACTTTTTTGGGATTTGATGTGATACGCGTTAAGGATGGTGTAGGTGGAAGACGAAAGCGATGACAAATAATAGAAGCAACTTTTCTGACATTTCAACACTTACTACTTGACTACTTCTATGCTTGGTACTGTACTCCCTTTCTTTCAAAATTTCTCTTAATCTCATTAATTATAATCTGGATTAGTCAATTAGAAATAACAAAAAATTTACAACTATAAACTTAAAAAGTTTATCCATAAATATGAACTTATATGCAAGGTATTAGTGGTATTAATTTTAGTTTTTCTATTTTAAAAGAATATATATTTTTATAATTATAAATTATATTATAAAGCATGTTTGATGGGGCGAGACAAGTTTTAGAATACACACTTTGAGCCTATTGAGAATCACCTTACATACCACTTTGTAAATGACATTGCAAAGAGATATCAAACAAAATTGGAAAACCACAGGAGAGTGTTCCACTTTCGGAGTCAGATAGATAAAAAAACTTGTGTATCTCATCATGGAATATATGAGTACTAAAGAGTGGAAAGCATTGCGTATGGGGAAGGAATGTCCCCGGCTGTTGCATTTAATGTTCGCGAATGATCTTTCATTGATTGGTGAAGCCAAGGAAGAGCAAATGGATTGCGTTATGAAAATCCTTCGTACTTTCATAGATATGTTGGGTCAAGAAGTTAATAAAGAATAAACATGTGTAATGTTTTCCAAGAATGTTAAGATAGGGATGAGAACCAAGTTGATACAGATCTCAGGTTATCGAGAAACGTAAGACATGAGCAAGTACTTAGGAGTTCCGCTTAATGGAAGGAGTCTGAACATGAAATATTATCAATACCTTGTGGGGCAGATGTCGACTAAACTTTCAAGTTGGAAAGCAAATAATATATCCTTGCAGGTCGGGTAACACTAAATAAAAGTGTGATGGAAGTGGTCCCTATATATCCCATGATGACAGATCTCTTGCCAAAAGTGTGTATCGACGATATCCAACGATGCAAAAGAACTTTATTTGGGGAGATACTATGGATAAGAAGAGATATCATATAGTTAGTTGGCATACTATAACAAATCCAAAAGAAGAAATGAGGTTTGGTCTTAGGAAGTTAGAGCAGACGAACATAACATGCCTCATGAAATTAGTGTGAAACATGTATAATAATGAAGATGGGTTGTGGTGTAATGTCCTGAGAAACAAGTATCAGGTTTCAAATAGTAATGAACCTAGTAGTAAGGGGCGGGACTTGAAGCTTTGGAGAGACATTGTCAATATTGATAAATAGGCCCAAGATCTTGGTAACTGGTGCATTGGAAACGGTTTGAAGAAGAATGCTTGGACATATAGTTGGATTACTTAAGGAGTCATTATTCGGGATTTGGATGTGGTGATTCCGAGTGAGCTAAAACATGCCGAAGTCAAGGATATTGTGGATCATAATGGAGATTGGAATTGGAAAAATATCACCTATTAGATTCCAAAAGAAATATTGCAGAAAATAAAGGTCATTCTTCCACCTAGAAGGGAGTATAGGGAAGACATTTATTAATTTATCAGCTTTAGCAGTGAGCAGTGAGCAGTTAAAACTAGTTATGAGATCATCAGCACGTATGTAAACAATTATGGCGATGTGCAATGGCTGAAGATTTGGCGTTTGAAAGTTCAGTAGATAGTTTGCAACTTTATTTGGTTATTGGGACATGATTATCTCTTAACTAATTACAATAAAAGCCTTAAAGGTCTTGAAGGAGCGGTTGTAAGAGATGTGGTGGTGTTAAGAAGACTACGTTGCATGCACTAAGGAACTACATAAAGTTATGCAATTCTGGATCCAAATGGTTCCTGCTAGTATTAACACAAATTTTTTCACTCTAGAGCTTACCAAGTGGGTCAACCTTAACCTAAGTATGAATCATTCTTGGGTCAATCTTTGGGCGGTGGTCTGCCATAGCCTTTGGGCTTGGAGGAATAAAGAGTACCATGATGATAATTATAATCGACCCTCCTTTCCGAGAACACATGTTCATTATAGAATGAATGACTATGTGGAAGCTATGAAGAATAACAAGGTTATTATTGGGATGGATAAGATTTTGGGCATGGTGAGATGGAAGTCGCCGAGAGGGACTGAGTGAATCTCAACACAAGTTGAGCTTGTAGAGATGGTAGAGCATCAGGGTGCAGAGGTATAATCAGAGGCACAAATGGTGAGTGTAAAGGAGGTTTTGCCAAGCATATTAGAATTTGCAGTGTGCTAAGGGCAGAATTATGGAGAGTTTATGAAGGCCTTAAGCTATCCATGGAGATGGGATATTCTAAAGTGAAATTAAATATGGACTTTATCACTATCATCATTGGAATGTTAAACTCAAGGAATGCAACGGGCATGGACAACTTTTCCTTGTTATATCGTATCCGGTGGCTTATGAAGAGGATAGGAGAGCTAAACATGACTCATATTTATAGAAAAGCTAACCAATGTACATATGCTTTGGCAAAATATGGGACTACAAGTGGGAAAGATATGAGTTTTGGAAAAGATATTCAGAGATTATTAGACATTTAGTTGACTCTCATGCGTTAGAATTCTCAGTTCCGACATTAATTTTGTTATAATTTTCTCTTTTTCTTTAGGTATAGGCCCTCCTATTAAAAAAATTAGTACAAAATTAATAATATTTTTAATATGTATAATATATATATATATATATATATATATATATATATATATATATATATATATATATATATATATATATATATATATATATATATATATATATATATATATATATATATATATATATATATATATATATATATATATATATATATATATATATATATATATATATATATATATATATATATATATATATATATATATATATATATATATATATATATATATATATATATGTTCTGGTCTGGGCCCAACCTCGGTCCAGCCCAATACCACGCACGGTCCAATAAGTGAACTGGCCACACCGGGCACACGCGTCCCACAGAACGGACAGGGCACGCCCCCAGCCATAGGCGACGCGTCCGACGGCTTCTCAACGTCCTCTCTTATCGGCCGAACAGGACACACCCCGGTGCGTCGAAGCGAGACCTTTGGTTCCTCCACATCCCCGCGTTCCCCTCCGCGGGGAGAACAACGCCCTCCGGGGAACCTCGCGAGCTACCTTCCGCGGGGAGGACAACGTGTCCGGCGCACGTTCTCCACGTGCTCCCCTCCGCGGGGACACGTCATTAATCAACTGCCCACCTCCGGAAGAGCAGGTCAAACCCACTTTCCGGAGATCAAGGAGCAGTTGGACTAGGGCGAAGACCACGTCCTGGTCTTCACTACGCCACGTAAGCCCTAGCAGTCATTAGGGTTGGGCCTGGTCATCCAACCCATCTCAAATGACCGTTGGCCCAGCGCTAGGGTCTCTCTATAAATACCCTTTTCCTCAAGATGGTCAGGTAACACACTTCTTACCCCTTTTTCTGTACTTCGTCATCGCTTTGCCCAACTTCTCACTTTGGCATCAGAGTGTTTTGTAGGTACACCCCCCTTCTCTTCCTCACCACCGGCGAGCAAGCAGCAGTCCAACAGAGTGTGGCCAGCCAGTGATCCCATTCTGATCAGGTCAGATCAGTGGCGCCATCTGTGGGAAAGGAAACTTCCCCGTTACTCCGAGCAGAAAACCAAAGTTTCACCAACACTCCACGATCATGGCTAGCCCACACCGCGACGGCACTCCGCACGACCTCGCGCTCAACGTCGCCACCAACGGAAACAAGCAGCCGGAAACGACGCGTCCGGCGGAAACTGACGAGAGGGACGGCCAAACTGCCTCGCCGTCCTCCGCAGAGCGGCCCCTTCAGGCCGACCACCGGCCCCCAGGCCCACCAGCATTCCAACCCATTCCCATCCCGGCGGGAGCAGACCCGACGGTGGCCGCCCTCTTCGCGGCCATCAACCAGACGAACCAGCTGCTGGCCCAGCAAAACGCGAGAATTGGAGCATTGGAACGCGTCGACCCTCCGAGGTACCCCCCGCGGGAAGACCAGAACGGAGGTTCGAGGAGTCCCTCACCTCGATCCAGAAATCGCCGGCCACGGCTGGAGAGGCACCGCGCACAGGTAGCGCGAGAACACACCAGGTCCCCAGCAAGACAAGTTCGCAAGAGGAACCAAAGCACCGCGGCGATCCCGACCGGGGATCCCCGAGGCGAAAACTCAGGCAGGAGGTCGAGAACCCGAAACCAGGGCCCTATTTTGAACGGCTCGTCTCCCCATCGATCCCCGGCACCCAGCGACGAGGACGATTACCGCACCCTGCTGTCCCGAGAAATCATGGCTGCCCCCATACCCCAAGGGATGGAGAAGCCACCGACGCTGTCGACGTATGACGGCACCTCCGACCCGGACGATCACCTAGAGGACATCGAGGCCATGCTCGGCTACCGAAACGTCCGGGGAGCTATCAAGTGCAGGCTCTTTCCGACGACTCTGAGGAAAGGCGCCATGACCTGGTATAAAAGTCTGGAGCCTGAATCAGTTACGTCATGGAGAGTCTTAAAGGACCTGTTCTCCAAACACTTTACGGCGTGCCG